TTCACAGCCATTATTTTTGCTTTGATGCTCGTCAATCTACGAAAGAGCTTTCCAAAGACTATTTTCAAAATATTTTTTAACAGTAGCACTGAGTATCGTTGAAGTCACTGTTTTATCTGACCAAGGTTTTTAAGGATGGGTCCTATTTATTTGAAAAGTCTTCTCTTGCAGTAAATTTCAATAAAGGAATACAATTTAATGTGGGTGCACCTGGAATGGTAATTGATATTAAAATTAAAAATAACCTCCCCCGCAAAAGAAACGGCCTGCATTGGCCGTTTTATTTGTAAGGCAATGATGGTTGGTTCGATCATTTGCGATATTTTTTAAATTGGCAGTGGGCTAATGCTGAAATTGCCGACCCACGACATCACAATATCGACTTCCAATTTAACTGAAACAAAAGCAGATGAAAGAGGAGCAAATGGACAAATTAATTGAAGTCCATCAAAATACAATTTGTTAAGGAGGCCGTGTTTATCTTAGTGTGTTTTTATCATTATGTTATGCATGTTTTGATATTCCTTACGTAGGGAATTCTCCAGCTGAGGCAGGATTTTTTTTAGATGAGAACAAGTAAAAATCAAGAAAACTACAAGTTATACTCAGTTGCTTTCTTTTATTTACACATGTTTGTATATATATATATGTATATAATTTTTTTTTGCTCTCGAAGTTTGAGTTTGAATATGGGTTGAAAAAATAACCTAAAAAAGCAGACGTAAGTGGTTTTAAAAAATGTCTTGCTGGGTGTCCTACAGCTGTGCGTCTCTTGATTTAACAATTCTAGCAAGGTTTAGACAAAAAGCAATAATAGCAAAAAGTCGGTCGCATAGGGCCATTGTAAGCGCCACTTTTTTAAGTGGCCAGCGTAAAAAACTTGCGGGAATTTATCATCGGTCTTAGTTGATACACAACTGTCATGCATGAACCCAAGGACTCAAGAGACCAACGCAGAACATTTAAGAGGAGAGCTAGAAGAAAACAAATGATCTTAAAACACAAACAGAAAAAGACTTAAAGCAAAGAAGGGACCATGTTATACCAAACATTTGTATTTTCCTCGTGCGACAATTGCTATCAATCATTATATAGCTTGCAGCGCCTGAGGCGAATATGAAACGAATCCAGCAGGGATGTGCACGTTGCAAATCCTTGTTCCGTTAACCGAATTCAGAAACAAATGGATCTAGACATGACGGTTAATTACTGCATCCAACTCATTGTTTTGACAGATAGAGAAAATTGGCAGATCAAATGTCTCGCGTTGTTTTCTATTAGACAAAATGGCCTTCACCAATGTCCCAAACAAATCTCCCGGATGACAGATGCTGGAAAGAAATTTATTCAAAATTTTCATCTTAGCATCAGGTTACTTTCTTCATTCCGGTTCAATTTCTAGAAAATTTTAATCACTT